AATATAAGTTTAACATGACAGCAAATGTACAACGTTTCGACCAGGTTTTGTCCTCACCTGATGATGACAAAACCTTGTCGAAACGTTGTACATTTGCTGTCATGTTAAACTTATATTAAAGTTTTTCTTCATTACCCATTTAAGCCGTCTCCAGCCATTATTAGTCTCAAAGTGGGTTCCTCGTCATCGAATTTGAATACATAAAGAAGACGTTTCTTTGCTTGTTACGTAACGACTCCTAAACTTTGCCCCTACTACATCACATGCACCCAACTAATGACGTCATTGTATTTTAAAACATTTTCTAACCTAACATCGCCCTGGTCAGCTGGCCTCTCTTCGGCCTAAAGGTATTTCGTAACAAAATAGTCAGAAATATATTAAACTCACGTTTAAGAGTTTGGACTGGCGATAATAGCCATTGATGCTTGATATATAAACATAGATATCCCCGGTGGGTGGTGTGTGTGTGACCCCACGTGATCAAAACGACCTGTATTCAAGGACGTGCAAGAGTGATTAACCCCGAATGAATAAAAAAGAAATGAATCTAGAACGTTTTCTCGATGTTTAACGAACAAGAGTAATGTAATGGGGAGTTATTAAGTTTTTAAAAGTTCACAGACTCATTGGACAGCACAGAAAATATCGGTAAAAACGTTATAAAAACATGCCCCTGAATAAGAAACATAGAACGGTCACTTACTTCTATGCTACGTTCTTCTCTTGTCACTTGCTGTTAACTCGAAGGTCCTATAAACGCTGAAAGATAGCGAGGGATGCTATAATATCACGTATGCGTCACGTGCCACCTTTCAGTCCAATAACGTATTTAAGAATGTTTCGTTGCTTCGTGAAGGTTATCTGAATGGGCGGTTTTTTCTTCATATTCTGTATTGGTTTAGCTGCGCAGGGGACACATTAATAAGATAGACTATGTCATACTTGGTCTGTGTGATTAACAATTCTCGTGTAAAGTTGCACTGAAGACTCTAAACACATAGCCGTCCCAAACTTTGAACTGATAGACTAGAGGAAGGGCAGCTTGTCAAAAGCACCCACTGCCAATTTTGGGGTTACTCTTGTCTGTCCGAATAGATGGATGGTCCGGCATGGCCAGGTGGTTAAGGCGCTTGACTCGCAATCTGAGGGTCGCGAGTTCGAATCCCCGTCCCACTAAACATGCTCGCCCTTCCAGCCGTGGAGGCGTTATAGTGTGACGGTCAATCCCACTATTAGTTGGTAAAAGAGTTGCCCTAGAGTTGGCGGTGGGTGGTGATGACTAGCTGCCTTCTCTCTAGTCTTCTACTGCTAAATTAGGGACGGCTAGCGTAGATAGCCCTCGTGTAGCTTTGCGCGGATTTCAAAACAAACCAAACAAACCGAATAGCGAGAAACAAAATACGAAGAGAAGCTCGAGAACAACAACAAGATAGTTGGGATCAATTAACTACAACAACATAGTTGGGATCAATTAACTACAACAATATAGTTGGGATCATTTAACTACAACAATATAGTTGGGATCAATTAACTACAACAATATAGTTGGGATCATTTAACTACAACAAGATAGTTGGGATCAATTAACTACAACAATATAGTTGGGATCATTTAACTACAACAAGATAGTTGGGATCAATTAACTACAACAATATAGTTGGGATCAATTAACTACAACAAGATAGTTGGGATCAATTAACT